GATCTCTGTTTATGGTTTGTGATAGTTGATGTAACCACGTGACTGTTGTAAAAATTGCTGGTGGCCTCTTAAAAAATATAATGTAAGATTATTTTGGCTTGAAAACTGGTATAACAAAGTACCTTAAGGACACTTAATGCACATTTAACACATAGATACATGTACTTCCTTTTTCTTGAATCTTAAATATGTAATTATGAAGTAGCAGCAACTTCAGAAAAAAATGTATTTATTATTTTATGGTGAAAATGAACTTTTTATGATCATACAGACTTGCACAAGAGATAAGATGATAGTGTGTTAATAACTAATGTTTTTTTTTACAAATTATTTATGCAAATTGAATTGCACTAGAATTGAAGTTTTTATGAACTATGAAGAGTTTGAAGAGATGAGCAATTTTCAGAATTTTTGTGAATATTTCAGCATACCTGGAAACTCCGACATTTGCAATTCATAGAAGATTCAGTACTAATCACAATATGTAGTTGTTCTGTGGTCATGAATTTATGTGAAAATTATTTTTAAAAGCTATGAGGAACTGTGCCAGCTTACTTGACCTTACTTTGGTTATACTGCTAATAAAAGTAGGCTTATGGTTATGGTGAACTTTCATTTTAGGGACACAAACTAGATCAGTGTCTCAGACACACATATAAAGCTGAGGAAACAAGAGTAATTTATATACTTGTAATATATTTTGTATATAATATAAATATCAAGTAATACGCTTGAAAAATTTGTGAAGATCTTATTGTTTTGTGAGGATATAATTAATGCATGCTGTGACCTACTTAGCAAGGCATGCAATGACTTTTTTTAGATGACAGATAAAAACATTTTCTTTTAATGTACACTTTTATACATTTATGTGTCATATTTGAAGTTTCAAGGCTATACATTTATGTACAAGGTGCCGTATTTGAAGTTTCAAGGCTATACATTTATGTACAAGGTGCCGTATTTGAAGTTTCAAGGCTATACATTTATGTACAAGGTGCCGTATTTGAAGTTTCAAGGCTATACATTGATGTACAAGGTGCCGTATTTGAAGTTTCAAGGCTATACATTTATGTACAAGGTGCCATATTTGAAGTTTCAAGGCTATACATTTATGTACAAGTTGCCATGTTTGAAGTTTCAAGGCTATACATTTATGGACAAGTTGCCACATTTGAAGTTTCAAGGCTATACATTTATGGACAAGGTGCCATATTTGAAGTTTCAAGGCTAACAGTGGTAGGATCGATAATTCTGTTGCAGTCTGTCCTCATTTTGTTTTTGTCTTATAAGTTTTTAAATGTACAAGAAAAAGCTTCATATATATATACCTATATCATTTCTCCAAAGATTTTCCCTTTTTTTCATTTTGTGAAGTAAATTATTTTGTGTGAAAAGTGTTTAAATAGATAAGAAACTAAAACCCTGATATTAGTCATGTAATTTCTTAAAATTTTTGGGATTCTTTCATCCCTGGTGGTTAAGACTCATTTGACAATCTGTGGGTTATGAGTTTTAATCTCTTCACTGCATATACCTGTCCTTTTAGCCATGGTGATGTTATAATGTGAAGGTCAATCTCACTATGTAATTTGAGTAGTCCAAGAGTTTGTGATGGGTGGTGTTGACTAGCTATCTTCTCTCTAGTTTAAAACTTCCAAATTAGGGATGAATAGAGCATATAGCTTTCAAATAGTTTTGCAAGAAATTCAACAGACAATCAATCAAAAGTTTTGTACTCTATCTAAACATGATGCACAGTGTGCAGCTTGTCAGGTCCAAGTTGACGTGCTGTCTTTAATGGCAAATGTTGTATCACACACAATTCAGTTCTGTAGGTCATGCCATATCTATATTTTTAAATGCATTTCTGATTGGGAAGTCAGCTGTATACGGTGTCTGATTGCCTAGGCAACATGATGGATCTTGGAACATTACAGGTATTGATAAACAAGAAGAAAGCCAACTTCAGATTTCTAACATGCAAGCATATGTATATTTCATACTCTTAAAAATGTTGTAGAATGAAATTTCTTTTTTTGTGGGTATGCAATCAATGTATTGTATACATAAGTGGACACTGTGCTGGAAATATTATAATTTAAGAGTGAGAATAACTAAGTTTGATAAGTCTCATGCCTTCAGCTGAATGTTTGAAAATCTTGAAAAAATCAGAGTTTTGCAATTTATTTAAATAACTTTTGAGCTCAGGAGAAAGGAGTTTAACATCACTATGAACAAAACTTTGGTAAGGTCAATGTGCAAGCTCTGGTGAAGAATATTTTGATAAATTCTTTGAATGTGTATATTCAATGAAAGGGTACTGGTTTTGTTTAACAATTTCTTAGTTTTAAATGAGGTTGAACCAAACTTAGTAAGAAGGATGTTTAACTTACAGGTCCGGTGTCATCTTCATATTTTGTCAGATTTTAGGGTTCACATTTTTCCACAAGATATTGTATTTCTGTAGTTAACTTGCTCTTTATATGTTTCAGTGGCATATGATAAGGTTTCGAAGAAATGCAACCTAGGTTCTTCTACACTATTGTGTTTAATAATGTGCAACTTTCTGCATTAGTGCTAATGACACTCAGAATATTATTATTGTTAAAAAAAACTGAAGATCCACTTAGTTATTAGATACAATAGTAAAGGTCCACATTTGCAATTGATGACTCATTAACTTAGGGCAGTCACAGTCGTTTCAGCCCGCAGTGGCTATTGACTGCACGACTCTTCCCCACCTGTTGAAAATTAGTGGTATATTGATTACCATAGTTTTTGTGTTCAATATGCCATTATATTACTGTCAACTTTAACTCAACAAAAATAAATTGGAAATTTCAGCTTGCATGAGAATGAATAATGTACAAAGAATTGTACAATTAAAATTTAAGTTGGTTGACAGAATGCATTTGATAAAAATAAATAAAAATGTTTTTTCTGTCACTCTTGAAATGCTAAATAATGATTGTTTTTTAATTTTTTCTCAGCTACTTGAGAATTACAAAAAAATTCAGTTTTTATTGAACTGATATTAAACTTGTATAAATAATATACATTGTTTTAAACCTTGTATTACATTTTCTAGCCATTCGAAAAATTTCAAATAGGCTTGAATTAAATCATGTGGCATGGCTAATTAACAAGATTTATAATGCTGGTAAAATGGAAAATTGCAAAAAGTTTTACTCATGTTATATGTATTTGAAACAACAGGTAAACTGTGTATGAATTGTTCTTAAAATATTTTTTTGATATGAAACTTTATTGGTGTAAAAGTGTTTAAAATAAACTGTGGTTAAAATAAACATCAGCAAAAAATGGATATTAAATTTTTAGCTCTTACATACACACTTGACTTGTATGCAAAATTCTGCTAATAAATAATTGTAAATATCTATAAATAAATGTATTTACAAACTATTGATACATACTGCAGTGTGCTAAAGAAAAATGGCAAACAAGACAGCATATTTCATTTGTTGACAATTTTATATACTTACAAAGACAATGATTGTTACTGTGAAACTAATCATAAAAGCTAGAATTATCATAATGTAAAAGCCCACATAACATATTGTCAAAACATTTATTCTTCAGCAACTTGTACTTATTGGTGTATGTTTTCTCCAAATGAGTATTTGTGAATTCTAATTTTATTAGCGGAACTAAGCAACATACTAAGTCACTAAATTCTCATTGGAAAATTTTTGTGGGACGTTGTGACACATTTTACAAAAATTTTGAGAATCAACAATTTTGGATAGATTCATGTAGTTATGGATATGTGCACATACCAACACACACAGATGTATACATTTTTATGTCTGTACAAATAAATTATAAACATTTTGACTGACAGTTATTCAGGAAATAGCATTTATAGGGTAAATTAAAATAGAAATAATTTATACATTTGATGTATAGATACATTCTACTTGGTTGCATTACTTTTACAGTTTGAATATTAGATTTACAGCCAAAGTCAGATAAATGAACTGTGGTCTCAACATATTTATAAGCATGCTATAGCTTCTATGAACATAACACTTATTATTGGCAGCATTTAAGTTCTTAAAATTACTTGAGTACATGACTACTTTATACACACACACTTGTATACTTTCTTACAGTAGTTATCATACTTGATATTTGTATATTCACTTACACAAGGCCTGGGGTCACCAGGTACAGGATCAATAAAATCTTGGAACACCAAAGTTGAGTAAATAAAAAAAACTGTTAAAAGTATTCAGTGCTGTTTCACTTTTAAAAATTAGGTAATCTACATCCAGGTTTAATTAAATATGATATAGTTTATTTGGTTAGGCAGTGTTTGTCCCATTCATCAAATACTGTTGATTGTATGTTAGGAACAAAGCTGCACAGTTTTAGCATTATAAGACCTAGAGCTTACCACTGAGCCACTGGGGGCCTACTTCTGTTAATAATGATTATTTTATTATTTAAGTATATCACATTTTAAGCTGGATAGAAATGCTATTCTTTTTGAAGTAGTGATATAGTATATAATGTTATTTATCATACTAGTAGGAAATTATTTCCTGAAATGTCTTGATATTATGAAGTCTTTGTCTAAAAAGCTGTGTGTACTTATGAACTTACAAACAACTTTTTCTTAAATAAAGTGGTCAAACATGTATTGAACATTTTTATTTTTGTTTAGAACTCCAAGATCATTAAGCTGTCAAGCTTTATTTTACATATGTACTTCCAATTTAATTTCACATTTTTCGCTTCTATATTTTGGCTTTCATAATAAGGAAAATTCAATTGAACACTTGTGATATAACATAAATGTATATAAGCATATTGCATATGGTTCTTTCTTTTAATTTTTTTTTTTATGGTGCATAATGACCTAATGGAGTGCTGTAATGCTTTTCAGTCTACACTCTCATCAAATTCCTAAAATTCAGTTTTATTTTATTTTAGTGGTACTCTTGATAAAATATTCTTTTTCTATTTGTTTTTAGGCTCAGACTTGCTTCTGTCACACTTGTTGTCGTCACACTTCTCGGTTACATGCCTGTCTATACTGTGTCTATTTTGGTTGCTACGATGGGAAACATATTCGTGAACATGCCCTCAGTAAAAAACATAATTTAGGTAAGTATTTTCAAAATAAGAATTGGTAACATATTTCTAATTAGGAACAAACTAGCTATGAAAAACATTTTGTATAATAGTTTAGAAGTCACAAACTTTTTTTTTGTGTCACATTATAGCCATATTTGTTTTTATATTCTTAAAAACTTGTTGAAATATTACTTTAAATATTTCATATGGTACATTTATTCTTCAATTATGACTCTTTACATTTTCTTCAAGAATTATTATTTTTCTTCCTAATGCTAAGTTAATCAATTTAGTTTTTTCTTTCATAGGAATCATTTGTAACTTACCGTTCTTTATTAGGACTTGGAAGGATGTTTTTGTCTTTTTAGCTGTACACTAATTAGTTATAATTTTGATATAATAAAGTATATGATGGTGGTTGCCACAAACATGTAAAATCTTATGTTGGGATGTGAATTAATTGATATATTAAGCTAGTGCAGAATGTAAAGTGTTCTGTATTTTTCTTTTTTTTTAAGGCTTTCTATATTTTTCAAGGAACTTTCTTGTATTTTATGTAAAACATGAAGTTTATGGTCGGTGCTAAGTTTCTAAAAATATGTTATAAAGTGAGCAGAAAAACAAACATCAACATTTTCAGGAAAATATAAATATGAGTCATAACAAATATATTACCACTTTGGGATATCTTAATGCACAAGTTCTAATTTGATAATTTAGAAATGTCATCTTGGTGGTGTAATCCATTCTTGAGTGAAAATATGATAAATGATTAATGGACGGTGATGCCAACTGTTATGAGCTATAGATATATTTACATTTTTGGAATTTGACAAAAAAAAGATTCAGAATTTTCTTAGATGATGTTATGCTGTTTTTTTTTTACATTTCATTCCTCTTTAAACAGATATTAGTGTAGAGTTTATAACATTAACAGCTCGTTCAAAAAATATCTACAAACCAACTTTTTAGCAGAGAATCAAGGCTGAAAAGTTTTGGGAGTAATCAGCATTTTTATTGGTAATATTTGATGGTATTTATAAAGGAACTGAATATTGACTTCAGTGTTTATTGTAAATTTAATACTGAATTTATTGTCACACTCTGTCAAAGTGTTAGGTGAAGAGAAATTAGATATAGTTTTATTAATTTAACTTCACACGAGTTATTTTTATCTCGGTAATAAGTAGTTAAATATAATAATTATTGATCATTCTTTTAAATTAGCCAGTCAAGTAAGGTTAGAAAAAAAAGCATTTGTGAAAGAACAGTGTGGTTATACTTGTATTATAATATATGATTTGAAAAATATGTTCCAACTAACAAAACAGTTTATTAATTAAAACACATATTTTATTTGTCTTGTGTTGATTACTAGACTTCTGTGACCGAGAGATTTTGTGAAATCTTAAAATGTTAATGGCTGTCTTGTTTTTCTTACAGCTGTAGATATATCATATGGTACTGTCTTTTGTTTCTCATGTGGAGATTATGTGTATGATAAAGAATTGGAAGCAATAGCAAAAAGACACAGGCGGAAGGCAGCTAAGCTAAATGGTGAGTATTCAGAGCAGATGAATCTGCAAGGTTTATTATTACTTTATATATATAACAAATGAATCTCTATTTGTGAAAAATCCTGTTTTATCATTTTTGTGATTGAATTGATGGTTCAATAAAGTATTTTCACATATTTTTTGTTCTTTCTTTCTTTTTTTTTGTTTATGTAAATATGACAAGTGATTGTAATCTGCTATTCCTGGAAATCCTGTTTTTTTTGTGAAGAAACTAATTGTCTACAAGAAGAAACTAATTGTGTACAACTCGGGGAAGATAAATTCTACCATCAGTGGATAGCTTAATGAAGTTTTCTATGAAAATGTTAGAACCAAGAAATCTTTTGTTTGTTTCTTCTTTTTGTATAAGAGTTCATTGCAATAAAATAAAACTTACATAATCTGTTGTTGGGTGAAAGTAAAACATTTGTGTCAGGATTAAATTTCTTCAGGGAAATGAAATAATTAGAGTAAAATTAAAACAAATTTGGAAAGACTTCTATACCAGTAATCTAAAACACACATACAGAAATGCTGCTTCTAAAATTTTCAGTTTTTTCTAAAGATGATTATTAATGGCCCGTGATATAAGAGTTTTTCAGTTTTATATTGCCCAGCATTGAAAGAGCACTTTAATCCATATTGGTCCACTGTGTCTTGTATTAACAAAAATGTTAATTAAAAATAATTACATAAAAAGAGTGTAATTACTAGAATGAAAGCAGTAAAAGCATACTATTAGAGATAAGTCTTCACAACCATAATGTAAAACTCAGTGCCTCAACTAAGTATTATTAATGTATAATCAGATACATAAGATGATACCAAGATGACAGGTTGGCTCAACTACTATTAAAACAGTTCCTTTTCATATCAAGACATTAGTGTATATATATAGAAAAAACATATTTGAAGTAAACTGCCTGTGGATTGACCCTTTAAAGCCCATTGGCAGGTATAATACTACCTCTGACCTTCAATAACAAAAATTAATAAATTATAAAAGTGACCATAACTGAAACAGCCAATTCAAACACATGGAATGCTAACTATGAAACCTATTAAAATTTTTATTTGTTATCAAGTTATGATTTATAATACAATAAAAACCACCACATAACATAACTGTATACTGTGCCATTGTGGATGACTAATGCAATTGCTCCTTGAAAACCAGTTTTCATACATATGCTGTAGTAGGTCTAATGATAGAAATGGTGCAATAAAAAATTGTGTACAGATTTAAAACCAGTATAATAGATTGTATTTATCTCACTCTGTTATTTATGAAATTTATCTGTGTTCTCCTTTTACTAATTTAGGTAATGTGTTCAAAAACTGATGGCATGTCTTTCCATTTGCCTAAGGGAGAAGTACAGTTGTGTGAACAATGGCCTCAAGTTACAAAACTTGTGAGTTCATGTAAACAGAAAATTAATTGCCAAGGCAATAATTCCAATAAAATAAACGAACACAGAAGGAAACTTGTTTAGTTGATTTATTACAGTTTGGTGGTTTACAAGTAATAGAAAACCATTGCTAACTTACAAGACAAAAGCCCCACATAACCTCTAGACCCCTCAAAACATAGAAATTTTCAAGTTTAAAATCTAGTGTAACTGCATAAGGAAGGAAGGTAGATCTGCAGTAGATAGATTGCAAGAATGAAGAATATTCTCAAGTTTCAGATGATTCAATTATGACTTTATAAGGTTCAGAAACTTGCAAATTGTAAAAAACAAAACAATAAAAAACATTCAGATGATTGCATTTTACAGTTCTTGACATCATCAGCTTTCAAAAATTTCCTGTTTTCAAAGTATTTGAGCTGAAAATATGCCTCAAATGAGTATAAAAATCAAAGATTTGTAGCTTAATTTTGTCCACTGACAAGTACAGGTGGGAAATTTAATGATTTCCGCCATCTTAATGGTGATTACAAAAGTGGGCAAGAAAGGAAAAAATAGGGCTAGCAGTTTTAATTTCTGTTAATTATTTCATCCAAGACAAATATTAATAAAGCTTATCTCAAAAGCAATATTAAAATCTCAACATTTTAGTTATTATTTTGTAGTTGAGGTATTTGATGGGATACATCACACACAGTTTTTCAGAACTTGATGTCATCATTTTATTACTGTAAAAGTCCAAAATGTTGGGTTGTAAGGGGTTAAATAATGGTGACCAACAAAGTAGTCTTTGTTACATTTTCAGATTTTTGTTTTAAAACTGGAAATTGTTAGAACTGAAATTTGGAGATAAAGCTGTTTGTGAGAAATTAAAAACGTATCCTTATTTTGGCATTTGTATGTAGGAAATATAAAAATTTTAAATATATATGTTTTATTGGAAAATGAATTTCTCTACTTCATATTAATAAGCATTTTACTTCTGTATCAGTTTAAAATATAAAAATTATAAAATGAAAGAGTAACACAATACTATTTAGAAAAAAGATAGTGTAATTGCTATAGTTCCTTTAAATATGTAAATCAAGGAAATAACTTATTAAAACAGTTAACTATTTATATAGAGGACTCACTTAACAGTAGCAGATATTTTAAAAACCCCACTTCTCACTTGAAATAACCTATTGGTAAAAAAATTATGAAGTATACATTTTTATCAGTTGCTTTGGGTTAAGTCAGACATTTATGGAACATACTTAGTGACAAGAAAATGTGAGATTTACTTCTGAGCAACTACTACAGTAGATGCTGCTAACCCAAGATGTTGAAGCTAAATTGTTTTAGTCAGTATTTTCTAAGTTTTTTTTAATTACCAATTTTAGATCATTGACAAAAAAGTGAAAATAACCAAATATGAATAGAAATATTGAAAAAAATATGATCTTTTAAATAAAGACTTTGAAAATTTAACTTGCTAGCTTAATCTTCATTCAGTTTTGATATTTTGAAGGCTACAACAGGAGATACATCAAGGTTATCCTGTAGCATACAAATTGAGATGGTCGATATAGGGCTTATATGTGTAGGCATGGAATAAGCTCAAGGACTATGATACTTAACTTCAGTGATCTAATAGAAGAAAGTTAAAGTTTTGTTTGAAAATTTGTTAGTTTCTAGCATTTATCTAAAAATTATTGATATATTTTAAGTCTTTGTGAAGCCTGTTTAAAGAAAAGCTCCAAGTCAGTGTTATATCACACAGAAATGATGCACTAAAAGTTAACAAAGCTGTCTACATCACAGTATAATGATGGTAAACCAGGTCAACTTAGTTGAACGTATGTGGCATATGAGGCATGCATGTATCACCTGTAGAAATACCTACTGGAATCAACACCATGTTGTTACTGGTAAGGATAGAGATGTAAGATTTTTGTGGTACTGAAAAGCATGTGTGTAGGTGTGCCTAAAAAATACTGTTGTTTTCCATGAAGAATTCAAGTTTTGAATGTATTTACAGGCATCAAAGAGCAGTATTATGAATGGGAACCAACTAATTTTGAACTAGATTTACTCAGGAGAAACCCTCGCAGGAAGAGGATAAGTGATAATTCTTATATAGGTATGTATAAACATGGAACTTTAATTTTTTAATAGGTATAATGTACGTGTTTTTATCGTCAAATAAATTTAATCTGTTAATTATGTGTGTGTGTATTTACATATACATATCTTGAATTTCTTCAGATACTTACAGAAAACTCAGAGACTAGTTCAACCGAGTAATTTGAAAAGAATAGTTAATTGTGTTGTCTGAATATTATAAGTATAGTATGAGATTATTTTGTATTTATTATCCTCTAAAATTGCATAGGATCAAAGTGTGCATGCTACAACCTTTTACAGAGTCCCATTCAAAACAAAATAACTATTATCAATGGATGTAAATAAACTTTGCATCATAATATAGTTTGTAATTCAAATTTTAGAATTATATAAGTTTAACTTTTTAATTTCAAAAGAAAATATTTAAAATTCACAGTTTTCACTTGTTTGTTTCATGTGACACTTTTTGCTCTGAATTGCCCAGTTTTTAAATTTTCTTCTTCTCCTGTGTGATCTTGTAACTTTCTGTGCGATTTATTCCATGTACAATACATATCCCTAATCCAAACAGTCGACCTTTAGTGCAAACTTTTTGATTTATGGGGATTAAAAACAGTAAAGTGAAAGCCATATGCCACATCCCTCATAGAACATCTTGCTTTCAAAAATTATCATAAGCTCTCTAACATTTGCTATTGGATTAATTATAACCAATAGAAAGTAAAAATTTCAGTTTACTGAAAGCTATATTATAAAGTATGAACATTTTAGTATTATTTTCTTTGTTTACCATTGTTGGAGCTCTACTTGACCAGGTTTGCGAATTACTTAAGTCTTTTTAGCTTAGTTAGGAAGCCAGATAAGTTCTACTTTATATGTATAGCAATATTTTATATTCTAAATTATATATTGGATTTTAAAACATAATTTTTTTAAGGCTACGTAATTGTTACTGAAAATTAGGTTAATCTTTGATGTTGATATTTATTGTAAAAGTGCAAGAACTTGAAAAGGATAAGATTTCAGAAGTAAGTACTCGTTTTCTTGGTTTTTATGCATACATTTTTTTTATTGTTATAAAAGTAACAAAGGTAAAATTAGGAGCTTCTTAGGCTAGATAAGGAATTTTAAATGAAATTAAATATACAAAATACTTGTGATCAGTGATAGCACATACCAAGATCAAGCATAGTTGTGTAATCTGATGCAAGAGTGCTGGTAACCGGGTCTGTTGTTTACAGAAAGCTATGTGGTGTAATAAACAGCTAATACTATAGCTGAGATGGTTTAAATGCAACTGTAAAGAAATAAAATTAATTGAAAAGTCTATTAGCTTTGGCTCTAAAAATAGTGTATAGTTATTTGTTACAAGGTGCAGTAATTCATATTTTGTTGCAGTTACAAGGTCAGTCAAATGATCAAACCTGTATATGGTGTTAGGGTAGAGAAATTAACAGATTAAATATAAAAGTTGTACTGACAAAAACTTTTGATATTCATTTAGGAGGTTCTAGATGTTATGGAAATGAAATCTGAAAACAGTAACTTTTATTATTAATGTAAAAATCACTTTGCTGAATCAGTAAAGGCTTTGTAAGTTCAGAGACAAATATTTAGTAAAAATACTTTATTAAGAAATCTGATTTTTTTATGTACAACAGATTTGTAATATTTGCTAAAAAGCTTTCTAAATTTCATGAAGATACACTTAATACATTCAAAGTTATATTATGTACAGTTTCATTGTCACAATTTTTCTAAGCTTATATTATGGTAATATTTAGACCATTATGTTTGACTTTGTAGCAAGGAGAATGCAGTTAAGTATGGGTTAATCTATTAAATATTAAAATGAGAAGAAATTTCTATAATTGCATTTCAAGGTACTTTCAGTGACATAAATATGGCAAGTATGTTTAAGAAATTTGTAGTTTTTTCTGTATTACAGCATTTTCAGTATAAAATTACCATTTAAGTTTATGAAAATATATCTTTTAGAAAAAACAAGTAGTATGATTAAGATTCCTGTAATACATTTCTCTTAAATTTTATTGTTTTTTTTTATCCATTGAAATTTGTTATTAGTAAGCCTTTTCATATCGAATTTGCATAAAATATGATTAATGATATTCACTTTATAATCTTTCAGAAATATTCACTAGTTCCATCTAAAGCAACCCTTCATATGATACGTGCCATCACACTGATGCTCAAAAGTGCCCATAAAATGAGTTTTGTGAGGGATTGTTAGAGCCCTTGTCAAGTCTGTCATGATACCTGCTGTTTAGGGCCCACTGCTAGTCTTTTTACCAAGATATAAATACTTTTGAATTCAGGTCCAGTTATTATTTGTCATGTCATTAGCCACGCAATCAGCTGTTTGCGTATACAGACAAGCTCACAGATAATATTTTGTGATCCCATTTTCTGCTATTACTTCAGTGCTTTTATTTTAATTGGCCTAGACCAGCAATGTTACATGCATAGTAGTATAACATTTTTGAACCGTGTTGTATATAATTTATTGACATGAAATATTTGTAACTAAGAAACTAAATCAATGTTTCAAACTTTAAATTACAAAATTTGTAATTAATTGTTAGCAAACTCAGACAAGCAAGAAGAGTTTGGCAAATTATCATGGCCTAAATTGCGTTTGATGAACTACTTTCTGCTGAAACAAAGCTGGAAAGGCTACCATATTGATTGGAGGTTGTCATAGTTTGGTAGTATGCTGTATGTCTCAGTTTAGCCAGCAACTGTGTTGTTGATAGAAAACAGTACAATTCAGTCAGTACAAATTAACTTTTATTGTCCAGGTCTGTAAACAAAGAATTGAGATATGGCATCAGCTTACTAACAGCCCCATGAACTATTCGCTGAGAGCTGTTTACAGCCCTCATGCATTAAGATGATACAGTGTAAATAAAATTGATATTTTGATTTCTTTTTTTATTAGGATTAAGAGGGCTCATCAACTTAGGGAACACATGCTTCATGAACTGCATCGTACAAGCGCTGATGCACACACCACTTCTCCGGGACTATTTTCTCGCTGACCGCAATGTTTGTCACTTCCAAGATGACCCTTCCATGTGTCTGGTCTGTGAGATGTCGCAGCTGTTCCAAGAGGTAAGGGAACCAACCAGGGTTGCCAGGTTTTGCAACAGAAACAAGCCCTATGGGCTCTGAAAACAAGCTACTCCTTAACCAACCAAGGTTAAACAATGCAGTTCTGTTAAAAAGCTATAGTAACACAAAATAGCAGCAAATATTAAAATGACTGTGAAAAAAAAGAAGCCCAAATCTGCAGGAAATATGCGGATTTGTCAACCCTGGCACAAACGTAAGGTACTAAAATATTTAAAAATTTTATTTTAAGAATATATCCATTGTTTCATATACATTTATTGAAAGGTGACTGAGTGTTTTTGTTTTTGCATACATATTTTTTTAATATACTAGTTTGTTAATGGTCTCTGACAGAATGCTGATTGTGTAACATTAAATTTTAATATTGAAAGGCATGTAGGGATGATCTATGTATAACTATATCATCCCTGTATTCTTGTTTGCATTTTTTGTTGGCACTGCCATCCCTAAATCATTTTACATTTACAAAATGTTTTTTATTACTTGTTTTGTGACATTTTTTCCCCTGACTGAAAGTTAGTGTATTATAATTTAATATTATGTGTATTAATTTTTTTTTTACTCCTTCACTTCATACATAATATAAGGGTTGGCTCCCTAAAGACACCGATTGTATAGTGTGCAAAGCAGTGAGTATTCTGCATTTTTACAGTTGTTTAATGTTCATCTATTATTTGCTGGTAATTTCTGTTTCATCCTGTACTTAAGCTTTTTAAGGAACACCAGATTTCTGTAAAAAAAGCTAACTTAAAGTGGTAATGATAACATCTTTTACACTAAAATTATGATGTTTTTTAAATTACTACTAGTTATTAAGACTAAGCAATGACATCGTGCATTACCCAGAAACACATAGTGTGGATTCTTAAACTAATGTTTAAGATAAAGTAGTTGTAGAGGTATCTTGACTGGTGGGTTTGTTATCTTAGTGATGATTTCTTGCCTTGTTTTTCGGCTTGTAAGGTAGAGAAAAAAATAAATGTGAGTACCAATCATCTTTTAAAGTAAAACTTTGTCATTGTTGATATTTTTTTTACTTGCAGATTTGTATTATACCTATTGAGTACTTTGACCATCCATACTTATAGTATATCTACTTTATGATAAGTATTAAAAAATTCATGCAAGTTACTTTTTATCTTACCTAAATCTCTCATTTATACAATATAAATATAAAATTATTATTAATAATATTACTTGCCTATATCTAGGTCTAAACCTAGGCTATCACTACTAGCAATATTGATTGTGACTTGAGTACTGGAGATCTAAGTTATATAATGCTTCATTAGTATCACTACTACAGCAGAAATATGGCATTCTGTTTATGTATAGTTCTATTAATTTATGCATTTAAACCAGTAGATGTAGGCTTACGTCTAAAATAAAATAGACTATAGCATTGAATTCATATTTATGCCTGCTACTGCTTATGTTCAAGTCTAGATTTATCTATGTCAAGGCTAGCCCACTAAGCTGTAGTTTTCATCCATGTGGTGGTATTTGCCCAATGTAGAGAAGTCCCTCGGTATGGAGTTGGCCATGATGCTATTGGTAAAAGAGTAGCCTACAAGTTGGCAATAGGTGATGTTGACTAGCTGCCCTTCCTTTAATCTATCACTGTTAAACTAGGGATGGCTGGCACAGATAGCCATTGAGTAGCTTTGCATGAAATTTAAAACAAACCAAAATTTTTAGTATGCTTTTGTAACAACTGTTGTCTTCTGGGTATCAATAGGATATTGCTTCACTTGAAGTTTTTGATTGGCTTTTGTAACAGTCCTTATCAGCCGTCTCTCATTAGGATTTTGCTTCACTTATTCCTTTTGTCTGGCTTCTGTAACAACCATTATCTCCAGTCTCTTGTTGGGATATTGCTTCACATGATCTTTTTGCCTGGCTTCTGTAACAGTCCTTGTCTGCTGTCTCTTGTTGGGATATTGCATCACATGGTCTTTTTGCCTGGCTTCTGTAACAGTCCTTGTCTGCTGTCTCTTATTGGGATATTGCTTCACATGATCTTTTTGCCTGGCTTCTGTAACAGTCCTTGTTTGCTATCTCTCATTGGGATTTTGCTTCACTTGGTCTGTTTACATTGTTTCTGAAGCAACCCTTGTCTTGCTGAAACTAAGTTGAATGAATCAGAACTGCCTGTTGTAGAAACACAAGTGTAGAGGATGATGTTTTGAAAGTCTTCTGTTTTTTTGTCAACCCGAAAACGAAAAGTGGAAGACTTTTTAAACATCATCCTCTACACTTGTATTTCTACAATAGGTAGTTGCCATCCATTCAACTTAGTTTCATCATGAATACTCTGCCTAAACAATCTATCAAAGAAAACCCTTGTCTTCTGTTTGTCTTTGGAATATTGCTTCACTTGTTCCTTTTGCTTGGCTTCTATTCATTTCTTGTAGAAAAAATTGGTTTTTAGCCAAGTTGCCAGGCTTTTTTTTTTTACTAATCTATGTAGTCTTTTTACCAGTTCTCTGAGTACACATTTTTGTAAACAATTCTCTGTTGGTTTCCTTTTTCACTCATTTTTACATTGTTTTGTTTTCTGTCTTTACTATTTATATTAGGTCATCATGAAATTAATGTCACTTTTTTTTAGATGAAAAAGCCTGTACAACTTATATATAAAAAAAACAAAACACTTATCAAATGAAATAGTCTCCATTTTTATTGATGATGCTTTTCCCTCTTACAATCAGGTTGTTAATGCCCTGATTAAAGAAATCACTTAGCTTTGAAACCAAAAACATGTCGATGTTCTCTTTAACACCTTCCACAAATGCACACATTTTCCCATTAAGATGGTGTTGCAGTGACTGAAAAAGATGGTAATCTGATGATGCCATATCTGGCAAATATGGTGGGTGGGGTAGAACTTCCCAACCCAACTCCATAATCTTGTGTTGTGTCAAACGTGCCACATGTGGATGTGCATTGTCGTGGAGAAGAACACCTTTCTAATTGACGAGTGAAGGGTGTTTCTGATGAAGGGCTTGATTTAAACGTTCCAGTTGCTGACTATAGATCTCGGCATTGACAGTTCGCTGTGGATTGAGGAGTTCGAAATGAATTATTCCTTTGATATTCCATCAAATGCAAAGCATCACTTTCTGCGGATGGAGTCCAGGTTTTGGGGTTGGAAGGGTTATTTGTCTAGGACTGAGCCATTGTTCTTGTAGTTTAATATTCGCATAGAGAATCCATTTTTCATCATCGGTGACAATTCTGTCCAAAAATGGTTTATGCTCATCACGTGCCAGAAGAGAGGAAGCAAAGTTCACACGTTGGAAAAGATGATCATCGGAGAGTTCGTGAGGCACCCAAACACCTTCTTTAAAGAGTTTTCCCATATTCCTTAGAGGTTTACATATTGTTTCATGAGAGACATGCAATTTCAGGGCCATTTCATGAGTGTGTTGCCTTGGGTTAGACTCAAAAAGCATCTTCAGAGCATCAGTCTCAATTCCAACATGTCAGCCCCTGTCATCACAGTTTTTAAGACTAAGGTCACCTGAACGAAATTTGCTGAACCATTGTTGATATGAACGCCCAAAACATTTCCATAAACTTCATTGATATTCTTTGTGGCTTCAGAGGCGTTGTTTCCGTTCTTGTATTCAAACAGCATTACATGCTGAATGTGTGGTTTGTTGTGTGGCATCACTATAAGGGATTAGATTATATTAAATTTTACACATTATATAGGCTACACTAACGTGACTTTTGGTGGTTTGTTTAACTATTATATGTTCCAAAATGCGACATTAATTTCTTGACGACCTAATATTATGGTCTTACTTTTTTAACTATTTTGCATTTCTCACATAGCACTTTTTTCTTGCTTTAGGTTTTCATGAACTTGACCATTTCTTTTTTTTTTCATTAACTTGTCCTTTTCTTGTTAACTTTTCTTGGTAGAATATTAGATCAATTTACATCTAGCATTTTGTTCTTTATTTTCAATCTCAGCTTTGGTTCTTGCCATATGTTTGACTCCTGGGCATTATCATTCTATGTATTTATCCTTTATACATGTTGTTCTATAAGAAACTTAATATTTTTTTATCTTGACCATAATTTTCTTCTTATATGTTCTGCATCATGTGAAGATTAAAGGATATTTCCCCCATTATCCTACCTTTCTTTTCTTATCAATTAATATACACTTGCCTGAATAGGTTATTTTGCCTCATATGAATATACACTTTTAATCTGGTTTACTTTGTTCTTGTAGCTTGGGTGATCTTTCTTTATCACTGATGAGTTTGTTTAAACTGCTTATTAGAAAGATTCACACAATGTTGGATGATGACTTATGTATGGTCTTTAATGCTGGCTGGAATAAGATTATAAGTGCTGGAGGTTTTTATGAATGTTACCTAACACTTCATAATCTTCTTGGTATTACAGTTATCTGATTCTGGGTTCTGACTGTTCTTGATTTTTAGGGAGAATGGTTTTTACTTCTAGGAAAGTTCATTTGTGTCCATGAAACTGAATTGACTTGTCATTGGTGTTATGTAAACCCCCCTTGTACTGAATTTTTCTGAACTCGATTGACAGTGTTTTATGTACTATTTCTGTAAAACTGTTTAGCATTTTAAAGTAGTCTGTTATTTTTCCATTTCTGTAGAATGCCTTAATATTGTTGCTATGTGCACTTCTTATTTTTTGGCACTACGAATTAAACATTTTGTTAGCAACAAATATACATACTATAGTATATTTTTCTAAGTAATGTATTGTTATTTGGGTCCACTTATTATTGTGTATCAATTAAACATATGCAAGATCTGTAAAAAGTTCTAGGGTATATACAACTATATTTTGTTAAATATGATTACAATTTTAATTCATTTTATAAACATTATTTTTCCTTTTTTTTCAAATTTAATTCAAAGTTTAAGTAAAAGCCACGGTAATCATATAGCTCTAATCATATGTATATGGAATCATTTGAAACATAGTCTTATCAGTCAGGAACCACAAATATTATTGAATGTGAAAATGTTTTTCTGTAGTTTTACTCAGGAAAAAGTACGCCTCACATTCCTTTTCGACTTCTTCATCTCGTGTGGACCCATGCTCGACACCTGGCAGGGTATGAGCAACAAGATGCTCATGAATTCTTCATTGCTACTCTAGATGTGCTTCACAGGCATTGTAAAGGTAAAAACATGCTTTATTACACAGTTTTGGAAAGATCCAGACTGAAGCATAATGTTCTTCAGAGAGTTTTTATATAAAGATTTTCTTTTTGTATTTTATTTTCCTATTGAAACTGTAATATGGCTTGTGTCATTCAATCAATTGGTGTAATTATGTTTTCATGAAAAAACTTTTTATATTGTTTTTATGGAAACTTTTATCCTTTGTTCTTCAGTTTGCATTTGTATTAGGCCTACAGCTATCTCAGCCTGTTGTTAAGCTTAATTTTGTTCATATTTTTATTTTATGTACACATTGAATACATTTACTACAGTAAAAGAGAGATACATTAACTTGTTTAAGTGTATTACATAAACTTTAAGAAGAAAGTAACTAGATTTAGCTTCTGGTTTAAAAGGCATGGCCTGGTGGTGGTTAGTCATATGATTTGGAATCTGTAGGTTGCAGGTTTGAATTCTGTCATTGAACACGTTCACCCTTTCATCCATGGTAGTGTTATAATGTGTCAGTCAATTGTAATAATCATTGGTAAAGAGTAGCCCAAGCGTTGGTGGTGGGTAGTGTTGACTAACTGCTTTCCCTCTTGTCTATAACTTCAAAATTAGGGATGGCTAGCATAGATAGCCCTCAAGTAGCTTTGCATGAAATCTAACAAAATAAATAAGCAAACTCTTAAATATAATAAAGTATAAGCTCAATTCATTTGTTCCAACACACTCAGGGTGTTAATTTTTCTTCAGAAACTATATCTGATATTTTTTTCACTAAAGGAATATAACGAGAAATAATTTCAAGCTAGCATAATTTTATTGTTTTAATTAATTTTCTGTGTACTTTACAGTGTAATTTCACTTGTTAATTTTATTGATTGAGTGTTAAACGTACAAAGCTGAAATGATTCATGTGATTTTTGCATATTTATAACAAGCATGTATAACATGCAAGGAATAATGGTAGAAGGTTTATGATCTAAAAAATAAACTGCTTATCAATGGCAACTGTCAAGTGCACTTAACCATCTGTATATGCCAGGCATAAATAAATGTTTTTTTTCTTTTCAGGTTTGATTTCATATCCAATGTCCTGTTTAGAATATACTAATTTAGTTTCTAAAGTGTTTACTAATTTTATGATAACTTTTGCTACTACTTACAAAGACAGATGTATTCTGATATTGAAACAAAGAATCACTATAAAAACAATAAACAGTAGATGTGTAAAATTTAAACATTTGTTTTTTGGAGAAAAACAATTTGAAGTCTCTCATAAGATTTTTTTCACTTAAATATTTTGAGAAGTTCCCCATTTTCACCATTGTCATAGATTTAAAGTAATAAAAATATTTTTTATTTACCTTAAAAATAAACTTTACTGTAAAACAATGTAATGTTCACTATTTATTTAATATTCCAAAGCCCACAACTAGCAAATCTGTGCTACCTCTCAAAGTGTCAATAAATATGAGAAATACCTTCGGGATTTGAAAAGTTCTTGTAATTCTGTTTTATCTTAAATAAGTGGATTTCATTTTTCTTAAATGCACACAAACTGTGAACCTGACTGGCCACTCTATTCACTGTTAAGGACTATGGAAATAATGCTAAGACATAGATATAAATTGTTTAAACCATGATTTAGTTATTTTGTATTGTGTATTAGATGCTAATGAATTACATAGTTTTAAGCATCTTAAAGTTTATTTTCAGCGAAAATTGATTTATAACACTAATATATGATTTTACTGCATGGTGTAATTTACTTTTGTACTGTACACAAATGATTAAGTTCTTATTGTTGATTGTGATTTGAATTAGTGTTAACTCTAATAGACTAAAAGTATCTTGTTTCTGTTTGAGACACAAGTTGCTGAGGTCTTGCTACTGAATTTTGTTTAGACTAGTGTATGAGTTAATGATTTATGTTTTCTTTCCATTACAATTACAAAACAAATCATTTGTTCCAACACACTCAGGGTGTTAATTTATATTCAAAAACTAGATCTGGTATTTGTTTCTCATGAGGAATAAAACTAGAATGAATTTCAAATTAGCATGATTTTGTTGTTTTACAGTGTTGTAAAAGTAATTAATTTTCTGTGTACTTTACAGTGTAATTTCAATTATTCATAGCCTTATTTATTGAATATTGTTAAATTTATCATATTTAAATAATGTTTGCAAATAAAATAAGTTATTAATTATTAAAAAGAAACTATATTATACCTCGACCAAGAATATTTCGGCAAAAATCATCCAACACACTCAGGGTGTTAATTTATATTCAAAAACTAGATCTGGTATTTGTTTCTCATGAGGAATAAAACTAGTCAATCAAAAGTAATGTTGATGCCATTTTGAAAGGTCACTAATAAAGCTTTTATATGTTTTTCAAATTGTTATTTCCATTTCAAATACAAAAAAAAATCTTTAGAATTATGGTTTAAACTGGCATGAGTGTTCATAAATGTGCATGTTTTTCTCTTTTCTAGGTACAAATGGCTTATCAAGTAGTAACCCACACCACTGTAATTGTATTGTAGATCAGATCTTTACAGGGGGTCTTCAGTCAGATGTTGTTTGCCAAGCGTGCAGGTAGGACCTTTTACTTGGGTTAAAATCAAGGTATTGACTGAAAAGATTTGCTTTTATATTCAATTTTCTCATGTATCATAATCTGGAGTATTTATTTTTCACCCCTATCTGGACTGTGGAGGTGTCGATTGCACACTTACATATCAAAATTAAAATTTAACTCAAAAATATTTTAGAATGGACATTTTATCACTATGTAGTATTTATTTAGTGTGATGTGCAAAAAAAAGAGAGAGAGAGAAAATGAAAAAAAAATATACCAACATTCATTTCTTCACAGTAGTTGGGACTCTTGCCTGTAAATAACATATTTATTTTTTATTTTTAGTATTACTCTTTTCAAACCAGAGTATAGGTTTATATTTTCTAAGAAACTATGGTCTTTTGAAAATATGATTAATGTTTTTTTTAATGTAATTTTTCTGTTACATTATTCATTTTATTACTACAGAACTTCATTGCTACCCTTTTTATAATGTTATAGTTTGTAGTCTAGGTGCTTAAGATAATGATCAACTAGAACACCAAGATTCTTTTCTTACATGATACTGTTAATGTTATTCCCATCAAAATGATATTCATAATTCAAATTATGTTATCCAACATGCATTACCTTGCATTTATTAAAGGTGAAAGTCATTGCCATTTATTTGCTCATCTTATCAAATCATCCAAATCATTTTGTAAAGCAGCATCTTCCTCATAGCTAGTAATACCCAAAACTTTAATGTCATCAGCAAATTTAAATAATCTATTGATCATTCCTTCATCTTTATGATTGATGTAAATAAAAAAAGTAAAGGTCCTTATACTGAGCTCTGAGGTACCCCACTCATTACATTAAACCAGTTTGACTGAACTCTTTTCATAACAGCTCTCTGCTTTCTTCCATCTAGTCAGTTTTCCCATGAGCCAACCTATCCCTCACACCTACAGAAATAACTTTTTAAACAAGCATTTTATGTGACACCTTGTTAGATGCTTTTCGAAAATCTAGGTATACCAAATCTTCACCTGTACTTTCATCTATGTAAGCAGCAATCCTTTTCAAAAAATGTCAAAGGATTAGTGTGGCAAGATTTCCTCCTAGTGAAACCATGCTGACTATCTACCAAAATTTTAAACTTTGTTAATGGACTTTGCAAAGCATCTTTTATAAGATTCTCAAAAACGTTTCCCACCACTGATACTGTGATATAATTACTGTGACAATTTGTATCACCTCCCTTAGGTCACATAAGCTAATTTCCAATGTTTTGCCATTTGCCCATTATTCAAAGACTTAGAAAAAATAGCAAAAATATTAGCAAGTGGCTCACATATCCAATCTTTAACCTTTTTCAAAATCCTTGAGTAAATATTATCAGTAGTATTAAAGCCTGGCTTTCAGGTCAACAGTTACAAGTGTATTGCAAAGTATGTAAAGTTTTATACAGTTTTGTGAAGTTATGGTTTTTATATGAATATAATACTGTAAATGTACCAAAACAATGCAATTTTGGTTCAAAAATGTTTAATGGTTATCATGCTTTATGTTCGAAGTGTCTGCATTTCTGATAGAGTTAAGTTTTATGAGTTTTTTTTGTAGGTTTAACCCTTTCTGTCCAGTGACATTATATACCCAACTTCTGCATTTGCATCCATAAAGATTAATATTTTATAACTTAATTTTTTCCCTTCAGTATCAATCAAATCAAAGTTCACTACCAAGAAATGCATTAGTGGTTGTTCTGTATTGGTAAATTAGCTTTATCTTGTATAAAAGTCCCACAGTCAGTTAAAAGAAGCATTAGTTTAAGTTGAGAAAACTAAGTAAGCACTGATGGAAGTCCAGTGTTATTTGTAGAAGTTACTCAACAACACCTGACTTTAGACATATATATTTCTTAAAAACATAAATTGTATGAATAGAAATACTAAAATTTAAAAATTTTATTATTATATTTATAACAAATTTACTGTTAAGTTTACAAGCTTGAAGATAAGCATTACTCTGTTCAGAATTTTGTGGGAAATCCCAAGATCTTACACTTTTCTAAAAAACAAAATAATAGACTCTGAAACTTTACCTTAATATGCACTTGAACAGCACTACAATTTGTTCTGTGTTAGAGTTAGGTATATTTATGACATAGACACATGTACACACACCTCTTCCTGCCTTTCATGAATAAGGAAATACATTTTTTAATTGGACAGTGATTTTCTTTGAAATTCACTCATATAGTCTTTACTTTTTGCTTACATTTCTAATAATAATTCATAACATTAATAGTTTTGCATGTTTATGTAATAACAAGCATTCTGAACATTCAGTAAAATATATCATTATAGTAGTTTTTAGTCTGCTGCCACAATAAATAAGAGAAATGTTTGGGCTGAGAGTAGGACTGTTGGTCTTTCAGTATAAGTTTAGACTGAAAAAACATTAGTTAATTTTGTATTCAAGTTATATTAAAACATAACCATATGGAATTCACTTTAAGCTATTGGATTTTAGGAAATATTTGTAGTAAGAAATAGTAACTTATGTAACATTTTGCTTATCGTAATAAAAACATAACCGTGTGAAAGCATGCAGTACTAGGCTGCTTCTTAATGCTACGTTGTTTAATTTCACCTTTTCTTTCTGCTGATGGATATGGTTACAGGCTTTACATGTGACCTTTGTGTACGAGGAAGGATAAAAAGTTTTTTCACTGTTGTTTAGAAGAATATGAAGCAGTGTTTTGTATTAGGTAAGATTTGATGAGTCTACTGTACTTAAATAGCTTGCTAAATGACAAGCTTTTTATCATGACACTGTTTGAAAGACTATAAATAATATTTCTGTATCACATTACTGTTAATGCACATGCATTTGTAATTTTGATCATAATAATTCTTGTAGGGTAAGATGATAATATTTATGTAAGTTCCAGAAGACTTATTGCTGTGCTTTTAGGGGAGTGTCCACAACCATCGATCCATTCTGGGACATATCGTTGGATCTTGGACCTAGTCTTCATCTTCAGTCTTCCACAAGTGGTCCTAATTCTACAGGTAGCTACCTTTTGACTGACTGCCATTTTGGGATTTGAGGGAAAGCTACTATGGAGTTGTTCAATTATCTTTCATTAAAATGCAAAGTTTAAGTTACTTAGACAATGATACTCAAATGTTTAACCCTGTGTGAAAGGTGTTGGTTTCTTTTCTGTGAACCTGTACATAGCAATATTTATTATAATTTCAAATTTGCAATGTGTATCTTCATAAAAATTGATAAGCTTTTAGTGAGCATTACACGTCCGTTGTGCAGAAAAAAAATACGATTTTTTAATAAATTATTTTTACTAAAAATTTGAGAATTTATGAAGCCTTTATTGATTTAGTTGGAGTGAAAGGTGATTTTCATGCTAAGAATAAGAATACTTGTTTTTGCCTTACAATTTTCATATTTCATTTGCATAACCTCTAAAGCTTCATAAATTAATGTTAAAAGTTTGTTTTGGTAAAACTTTATACCTTATCTCTTATTTTCTCTATCACCAACTGTAGAAAAAGCAGTGAAACAAAATATTGAAAAATACAAAATAAAAAGATGAATTCCTTTTTGTTTTTTAGAATAACTGCAGATTGTAAAAAAAAAACAATTAGTTATTTATTCTAACAAAGCCTCTTTTACTTCAATTTAGATTTTCACCTAATTTTTGGGCATCATTTTAGTTTTTAACTTGTTTTCTTTTTATATTTTATTGTATTATTACTTGTCGT